AGTCTACCCAAGGCAGGCTTTTGCAATTTCCTTCATCTTTGTGAGAACCACAGATGACAGCTCTGGATAGAAACTTTTGGTCTCTCCTTTATATTCTACTTAGACCTTGGGCCTGCCTGCATCATTCACCACCATGAAGGGCCAGTGTTTCAACAACATCATCAAATCTTCATCCAATGAGACATTTGGCATTGAATACTGTGTTAGTAGGATTCATTACAACTTGATTCTTTGCCGCATCACCAATCAATCTTTCGGTATTGGTAAATGTGGTATAGCTTGGGGTGGTCCAGTTGCCTTGATCATTTGAAATGATCTCCACTTTTCCAAGTTGGAAAACCCCTACCCAGGAATGGATAAACCCAAGATCAATTCCAACTGCAGGGCCCTTGGACATGGTTGCTTAGTGCAGGTCCCAGGTGGTGGAGAAACAAAACCATACCTCACAGCTGCTGCTGCACTAAATGAGCCTCATTCATCCATTTTTATCCTAACCTGGTTATGTATTTCAGACTGTGTTTGTGAGCCTTTATTGCTATAGGCTAGGCCTTCTATGCTTGGTCTCACTTTGTCTCTTATAATTTTTATGATTTGGGCCTTTACTCCTTGGCCTCTAATCCACTTTAAGTTGATTTTTGTGGGTGGTGTGAGAAATGGATCATGCTTCAACTTTCCGAAAGTAAGCAGTCCAGTTTTGCCAACACTATTTTTTTAAGGTTGTAATTTCCTCATTTCAAAGATTTAATTTCCTTGTTGAGTACCAGTTGACCATAGATAGATGGATTAATTTCTGGGTTCTCTGTCATGTTCCATTGGTCTAGGTGCCTGTCATTGTTCCAGTACCAAGCTGTTTTGGTTATTATAGCTGCATAGTAGGTTTGAGATCAGAGAGTGCTATGTCTCCAACTTCATATTTGTTTTTCAGAAGTATTTGTTTATTTAGGGTCTCTTTCCTTTTCAAATAAACTTGACAATGCCTTTTCTCTCTCTTTTTAAAAAGATGAATTTGGTAGCTGTACTGGGAGTGCATTAAACATGTAGATTGCTTTCGTAAAATTGTCATTTTCACTATATTGAGACTTTCAATGAACAAGGAATATTTTTCCATTTATTTAGGAGCGGAATGGTCAGATTTTGCAAAGTTGTGTTTTCTGGTTTGAGGTTGAGATTAGGGTGTGGCTCTTGCTCACAATAAGTTTTAAGATCATCAGATTTGGCCTCACTTTTAAAAAGGCTATTGGAAAAAAATCAGTTGATCATAGGTAGATGGGCTGATTTCTGGATTCTCAATTCTATTCTGTTGATCTATTCTGTTGTCTGTCATTGTACCAGTGCCACGCTGTCTTGACCATCAAGGTAGTGTAGTAGGATTCGAAATTAGGGAGTTATATGCCTCCTACCTTGTTTCTCTTTTTAAGGACTGATTTGCTTGTTATGGGCCTCTTTCCATTCCAAATGGAATTTTGAAATTGTCTTTTCCATTTCATTGAAGAATGGAATTGGTATTGGTATTTGTATGGGGATAGCATTGTAAATTGCCTTTGGTATTATTGTCATTTTCACAATATTCAGTCTTCCTATCCATGAACAAGGGATGTCCTTCCACCTCACCAGGTCTCTTTTTGTTTCTTGTAATAATATTTTGTAATTTTCTTTGAATATGTCCTTTGTGCTTCTGGTTAGGTTTACTCCTAAGTATTTAATCTTGTGATTAGCATTTGTGAAGGGTATTATTCTTCCCAGCTCCAGTTCTATATTCTCTTTGTCACTGTAGAGTAATCCAAGTGATTTTTGTTTATTGATATTGTATTCTGCCACTTTGCTGAATTGGTCACCTATGTTTTCTTGCTGAGGCTTTACGGTTTTGTAAGTCTACTATCATATCATCTATATAGAGTGATAATTTTACCTCCTTTTTGCCAATTTGGATCCCTCTTATTTCTTTCCCTTGCCTTATTGCTATCCCTAAGACTTCCATACCTTTTCAACATGTATGCAGAGCAGATTATTCGAGAGGCTGGGCTCTATGAGGAGAATTGTGGCATCAGGATTGGTGGAAGATTTATTAACAATCTCCGTTATGCAGATGACACAACCTTGCTTGCTGAAACTGAGGAGGACCTCATGCACTTGCTGCGAAGGGTCAAGGACTGCAGCCTTCAGTATGGACTAAGGCCCAACATCAAGAAGACAAAGATTCTCACCACTGGACCAATTGGCAGCATCAGGATGGATGACGAAGAGATTGAGAGTGTTCACAGCTTCAGTTTGCTCGGCTCCACTGTCAACACTCTTGGTACCAGCAGTCAGGAAATCAAAAAGTGTATCGCGATGGGAAAGTCTGTTGTTAGGGACCTCTTAAAGGTACTCAGGAGCAGCAGTGTCTCTCTGGAGACTACGGTGCGCCTGATACAGGCCATGGTATTTGCAATCGCTTGTTATGCATCAGAGAGTTGGACAATGACTAGGGAGGACAGAAGGAGAGTGCATACTTTTGAGCTGTGGTGCTGGAGAAGGGTACTGAATGTACCATGGACTGCCAGGAAAACAAACAGATTCATCTTGGAGAGGATTAAACCAAGCTGCTCCTTGGAGGAAAAGATTCTGGGGCTTCGTCTGACATACTTTGCACATGTTGCCAGGAGGGACAGGTCCTTGGAGAGGGACATCATGCTTGGGAGGGTGGAGGGACAGCGCAGGAGGGGAAGACCCTCTATGAGATGGATTGATTCGGTGACTGGGGTAATCGGGATGGGGTGTCAGAGGCGGTGCAGTTGGTGCAGGATAGAGCAGGGTTTAGAGCTGTTGTGCATAGGGTCGCTATGAGTCGGAAACGACTCGATGGCACATACCAACAACAAGACTTCCAATAAAATATTGAGTAGGAGAGGTGATAGTGGGCATCCTTGCCTAGTTTCTGTTCTCAAGGGGAATGCCTTTAATCTCTCTCCACTGAGAACAATATTGGCTCTCACATCTATCTATGGTCAATAAATTTTTGACAAAGAGATGAAATCAGTGAAGTAGAGAAAGGACAGCTTTCTTAACCAATGGTGCTAGCAAAATTGGAAAACTATCTGCAGAAAATTCAAGCAAGATCCACACCTCACTTCATATACAAAAACCAATTGAAAGTGGATTATGGACCTAGGACTAAAACCAAAGACTATAAACTTCATTAAAGAAATCTTGGAAGAACTTTAGAAGTCCCAATCCACAGTGTAAACAGTCTTCCAAGCATCCTGGAAAATCCAAAACTGGGAGAGGATAAAATAGATGAATGGGACCTTTTAAGAATCAAATCCCTATGTACATCCAAAAACGTCTCCAAGAGAGTAAAATGGGAAGCCACATACTGGGGAAAAAATATTTGGTAATGACATGTCAGGTAAGGGACTTATATCTAGAATTTATAAAATACCCAAGTATCACAACAAGATAAAGGTAAATAACCCAATTGAAAAATGGGCACAGGAAATGAACAGACACTTCACCAAAGAAGACATTCACATGAAGAAATGTTCAAAATCCGTAGCTCTAAGAGAGATGCAAATTAAAACAATTGTGAGATATCATCTCACCCCAGTAAGAATAGCAAAATTTAGCAGAACATCAAAAATCAAAAAGGTTATGGAAAAACTGGAACCCTTATTCACTGTTGATGGAAGTGTAAAACGGTGAAACCAATATGGAAGGCTGTGTGGCACTTTCTCAAAAAGTTGCCAGTAGACATAACATTGGCCCCAGCAATTCCACTCTTGGGAATTTACCCTAAAGAAAACATACCACCCAAGCAGATGTACACACACCCATGTTTATTGCAACTTTGTTTGCAATAACAAAGAGCTGGAAACAACCCAAGTACCCATCAACAGATGAATGGATAGAGAAGCTCTGGTATATCCACACATACTATGCAGCAATGAAAAACAAGGAACTAATAATATTTCATGATCTTCTCTAGCAAGCACTTCAAGTTCTCTTTTTATTTTCAACAAGCAAGGCTGTGTAATTTGCATAATGCAAGTTGTTGATGAGTCATCCTCTGATCTTGATCCGACATTCCTTTTCACATACTCCAGCTACTCGAATTATTTGCTCAACATGCAGATTGATTAGCTATAGAGAAAGGATACAAGCCTGACTCACATTTTCCCTGACTTTAAACCCTATAAAGTTCCTATACTTTGTATGGACCACAGCCTCTTGGTGTACGTATCAGTTTCGTATAAGCAAAATAAACTGTTCTGGGCTTCCCATTCTTCTCAATGGTAACCATAGTTTTGATGATTTATAAGTCAAATGCCTTTGTGTAGTCAATAAATCACAAGTAGATATTCTTCTGGTATTCTTTGCTTTCATTCAGAGTCCATCTCATATAAGCAATTATATCCCTAGTCTCTTCTAAATCCCACTTAAACTAATGGCAATTCTCTCACTATGTACTGTTGCAGCCAATTTTAGAGATCTTTAACAATATTTTACATAATACATGTGATATTAATGATATTATTCAATCATTTCCACATCCTGCTGGATCATCTTTATTCAGAATGGGGTCAAATAGGATCACTTTAAGTCAGTCAGCCAAATAGCTAGCTGTCCTGTAAATTTCCTCATGTAAACTGATAAGCACATTATTGTCTGTAACTCATTTATAAGACATAAAGATAAGAAATATGTTGTTTACTAGTATACAACTTATAATATTCATAGAATAACACAACAACTAAGACAAAGTAGGAGTACATAAAATATATTGTGAAGTAGAATGTAATAAAATAGACACTTTCTCTTTTAGCATGTAGAATTTGAGCCAGAAATTAGTACTTCTATCCACTTTCATTCATCAACATATCCTGTGCGGTTTCAGATAACTGTACCTGAGTAAATTTTTGCTATTTTTGGATATCCTTTTGGTCTGAGAGTGATATCCAAAGCTGAGATTAGCCTCTATTTTACTTTTTATTTACAAATAAATCATTAAAACATTTAAGGAGATGGAGAATGAGGATGGCTATATGACACTGAAGCCCAAGAATCATCTCAAAGTTAAGGATAAATCTGCAGGTAGGAATATTATCTTCTCTCTCTTGATTCAGACTCTGATTTAAAATTGCTATTAACTTGATCATCTAAAAGAACTTCCTCTCCCCCATATTTTTGACTGAGAGTTGAGGCACACATGTAAATATAGCTTTGGTTTCAAAGAACGGAGTTGTAAAATGTGATGTTTTCATGATTTGTTTATCTCTGGACAAATCATTTGTACCATCTTTTGATATTTCTTTCCTCTTCTCTGTTCTAACATTAAGTTACATCTTAAATGGCTACCAGCAAGCTTTTAACTCCCTAGTCACTACTAACTAAAGCAGAACATGCCCACTGCTCTTTAGCCTATTCTAACTCTCAGCAACCCTCAGTCAGGTTTCCAAGGCTGTTCATCTTTCTCCCTCAAGGTAGTGGGTCAATTACTTACTTTTGGTAAGCAATGTAATAAATAACCCATCTATGCAAATTATCTTGCTATGCCTTGAAGTTATGGTCTTCAGGTTTAGGGCTAGCAACTTATTTCCTCAAAATGTTTGATTATGATTAAAAAGAATTTGTCACTTATTAGTTCTAATATATATAGGAATATATTTATAGCAAGCATATACAAATAAGCATGTAGAATTATTATACTATCATGATTGCAGTCACTTTAAATCATTTTATATCTCACATTCTGGAATTTTGAAAATATCCATTTTCTAAGATTTCTAAGATGTTGTTTTTGTTGATTGCCTTCAAGTCGAGCACGACTCATAGCAACCCTATGAACAAAAGGCTTGAAGTCCCTCTATAACTATCGACATTTATCAAAGTTCATAGGCTTTCTGGAGGTATGTTATTTAGGAAGTGGATGCCACTCTTGTTTCCAATAAGTTTCTATAGATAAATGCAAATGTAACTTTAAGTAGACTTTTCCACAGTATTGGAGAGGCAGTGAAATGCTAATGTAATGATACATACTCTTTTCTGTGTTGTGGTGTAAGAACAAGGGTTAGCTTTAAAATAAAAGACCTAAAA